AACTCATTGTTATAATGCAAACCTTAATTTTACCTTTCTTTTTACTTTTGACCATGTTTTACTCTCTGCAAATGCATTGCTTGCTTAAGCACGTCAGTCGGTTGTTTGTTTTTTATTGAGTCAGGTGCAGCATCCCTTTTGCGAGGTGGTGCTTCATTTGTGGGGTAGTTTTTTAGGGAAAACAAAAATTGTTTGAAACCATTTTAAATTCCTACATGGATGTCCTCTGCACCCTTAAACCATTAAATTCGCAAAGAAACCACAGGAAAGGGTAGTAAGCTTGTATCCAACTGCTGTCAGTTGATCTTTTGTTTTTTATTAAGTCACTTGCAATGTCCTTTTTAGAAGTTGGTGTTGCAACCGTTTTAATTTTTTTTTGGAGAACAAAAATCGTTCTAAATGGTTTTAAATTCCTACATGGATTTCCTCTGCACCCTCCGACCATTAAATCCACAAGGAAACCACAGGAAAAGGGAGTGAGCTTGTACCCAACTGCTATATCTTTTACTAACAAGCCACATGAAAGAGCCTTAGGGTATACCCTACTCTGCATGCTGTCAAGGCATATCTAACATTTCCCAGGCACGTGCCTTCTGGATCTCCGCAAAGCTTCAAAGAAGCTCTGACAGCTTTACAAGATTGTTTATGGGTCACAGGCAGGGCCTGGGCAAGCCAGGCAGCCATTGATGTTAACAATCCTTGATGTCTGCCATCTGGAAAATGTTTGTACACGTTCTAATGGGAATTGGCTAGACTCCAGGTGGGGTATATTTTTCTGGCTAATTGGAAGCCCCTATTGACTAAACCAGGCTGTTCGGCATGAACACAGGCAGGATATCAGGGAAGTTTTTATAGTTGGCCATGAATTTTTATTAATCAAGAAATTCGCAAGCTAGCCATCCAAAGTGGATGTGGGAGCCCTCTACGCATAGGTTAAAGTTATTTATACTTTCCTGAGCTACTTCTAACTAGTCCCATGTTTTCTCCATTCTAGATCTCCATGATGTAGAGTACCAGAACTCCAGCACAGTCATCTCAGCCTCCTGGCATGGCTTTGTGGATCTGGAATCCTACATAGACCATTATGAGTGGTGTGTTGGACAGACCCCCAGCCCTACAGATGCTAGCATCCTGCCTTGCACCGATGTTGGAATCCACTTGTCTGCGTCGAAGACTCTAGCTGCACCTCTCACAGATGGTAATGATTGCATGAATTTTGCCTTCATTTAAACACAGTTTCAAAATTTCAGAACTTGCCCTTGTGAGAATCAGAAATGGTTTTAATTCATGGCCAAGAATCATTTTAAATACAAAAGAAACAAATGTTGAGGTTGTCTGCCAAAATACGATCTTTAAAATATGTCCAACCTGCATACTATTTCAATTTCAAAAGCTTGCTTTCCTGCTTGTAAAGCATAGAAAATGAACTTTGCCATTCAACACTCAACATGAGAATGTTCAATACAATTTCTTTGCTGAAAAATTGAAAATAAGCTAGTTCATGTTGGTTTGAACTCAGAAACATCATAGCTAACCCTTCATATCTAAAGAGAGCTTGTTAGATAAAGAGGTTTGCGGTAGCACCATGTATGATATCTCTTTTTTTAGTAGACCTATGTGTTCTGAAACAAAGTTGAGGGTACTTGACATTTTAGACAGTATATATGCTCCGTATATTGAATACTAACTAAGGATCCTACAAGACGCACTCAAGCAGAACATGGGATGCTGGCAGATCAATGAGGTGTGTCAGTGTGAAGGAGGGGAACGCGGGGAAAGATTAACAAGGGTATAGGAGACCCATTGGACCGGGGTGTGAGGATGGGATGCCAGATGTTGCTGATGTTGAAACCGATGTATTGCAGTATACTGTGTCATGTTTGAGGATTTTGATGGCTTCTCTGATGCAACGATGGTACCGATGTTCAGCGCTGGGAGGGCGCTGCACAGCGGTGACCAGTTCGCTTTTCTTGTCAGTCTCGTTAAAAGTTGTGTTTAAATGCCAAGTGACCTGCTTCAGCTGTCAAAATGTTGGCAACGTACTCATGGATGTCGCGATACTTGTTTTTCGTCATTCTGTTCCTGTTTCCGGAAAGTAAGTATACAAACAGGGTGATCAGATCATCAGATATGAACAACAACAATTGTATCAGCAGGCAAACACATCGAAACTTGAGTCCCCCGGACATTCCTGACTGGGTTTCAATTCGCGGGGCTCATGACAAGAGCTCTGACTGTGCATCAAACTGGAGCGTTCGAATGCACAGAAAGAAAGGCGGCATTAGACAGTTGATGTCGCCTAGGCATATTCGCTGTCTCTACCAACACCCTTTACCTGCGATCACAATGGCCGAATGTCAGATCAGTTAACAAGATTGATGAGATTAGAAGCCTGGCCGCTTCAACTGTGATTTCCGGCAGTCCAGCTTGCTGTGTTTCACCGTAACATGGTTCAACCCCTCCATCCCAAGGAACCTTGTTGATATAGATGGCTTCTAGCTTATCCGGCTGGATCGATCTGCAACGACGAAGAATAAAGGTGGAGTGGTGTGCATCTATATGAATGAAAACTGGTGCCAGAACTTCACCATCAGATCTCAGATATGCCAGCCAGACATCAAGCTACTATCCATGTCCTTCCGACATTTTTACTTGCTGTGGGAATTTAGTCAGGGTCACATTCTAGTCGTGTATGTACTATCAGATATAGACCTCGATAGCGCCGCTGCAACGATTTCGGTCGAGGTGCGTGCCATGGAAACCTCATGTCCCGATGCTCCTACGATCGTCTTGTAACTCTCAGGATGCAGCTATATATTTTAAAGGCACTAACCCTAGGAATTCAATGGGCCCCGACAACATCTGCTGAAAGATTCTTTTAAAATGCGTATTTCAGTTAATGAAACCCTTCAGTATTCTTTTTCAAAAATCCATCGATGAAAGGCAAGTGCCAAAATGTTGGAAATCTTTTATCGTCATCCCTGTGGCAAAATCACCACTAGCTTCTGACCTCAACGATTATCGCCCATTTTTGCTCACATTGGAGATGAAAAGATTTGAACGCCAGATCAACTCCTTTTCCACAAGTCTGAAATTGACTCGCTTCAATTCACCTACCAACCCCAAAAGAATCTAAACGATGCTGTTCTGTTTTTAGTTCATTCTATTTTGCATTACGAACAACATTTTTCGACTTCTCGTCGGCCTTTAACACTGACAAACCAGCCTCATTTGTTGATAGAGAAGTTGTTGAAAATGAATGTCTAACCATCCCTCATTTTATGGCTAAAAGAGTTTTTATCAAACAGAGAGCAAAATGTGAGACTGCATGGTATTCTGTCCAATTCAATTATTACACACACATGGTCTCCTCAGAGATGTGTGCTCTCAGCATCACTGTTCATTCTGTATACCAATGATTGCTTTCCTCCTCATGAAAATGTTACCGTACACTGATGACACAGCTATTACTGGCCTTATTTCTAGGAATGATGAAGGGTCATATGTACATGAGTTGCAGGTCTTTGAGAAATGGTGCGAATCTAATTTTCTAGTATTGAACTTCACTAAAACGAAGGAAATTATCAATGATTTTTGAAAATCGGAAAGTCAAGTACAGCCAAGTACTGCACGTTCAGTTTCGTACTGATTTTTTTAATTTCCCATGTGTAGTTTCAGACACATATAAATACCTTGCGAAGTTTTAATTTAACTTGTTTCATTTCTTGTATTAGTGGGATATTTCAATACAAATGACATAAAATCGTGTCGGAGAAAGGTTTTATCAGGATCAATGGGGAAAATGTTCTAAAAATTTGAGAAATATAATTAAAATGAAAGAATGAATAAAACAAACTGCTATACCTGAAATGAGCTGCAGGCGTGTATCAGGACAATTAATGTTGACATGTGTGTACCAGACTCTTGCAGCCTTCGTGCCTGTGAACATAATATAGGACATTTGAATAAATGTTCATGAACAACAAATTGATTCCTGTATTTGCTAGGTATTCGATATTACTCCAAGATCTCAGCTTTTGATGCAGCCGGCCAGCAGTCGATGTCAGTCTCTTCAAATGGATTTGTAGTGGACACTACACCCCCTGAGCCAGCAGAACATATCCTTGTAGGGGATAACCTGATTCAGAATCCATCATTTGAAGAGAAGGAGGAGCTGCATTACTCAGGTAAAATGATATTCTTTGGATTGGAAAATGTTGCCAAGATATTTTATTGGAAAGAAAACAGTGTGCGGGCAAAAATTATCTTGGGGCATTGAAGAATTTGAACTTTTTCAAAACCATAATATGAGATATGTAAATGGTTGGGTTTTGGACATCCATGCTCAAGAGAACGATGGAAGCGTTTCTGTTCTCTGTTTCAGATATGGATTATGACCGTACAGTTAGTTCTGGAGATGGGTTATCAGGTGGAGCCTCAGGTGATGTTGGAATTCAGTCATTGTCATCACCAGAATCTGGTGATTTCAAAACCTGGGACATTAAATCTGGCAGCCAGTTTTCAGTGGTCTCATCTGAAAAGAAGATTGCCAAAGACGGTCATTCTTTCTTGTCCCTCCGTGGTGCCATCTCCCAAACCTTCAACACAACGATGGGCAGCCAATACCAGATAGTGATATTCGTCAGTCACATGCCATCCCAGAATCCTTTGCTGAATCAGGAAGTTTGCATCGAGGCCCCAGGACTGAATCATGTCTTCAGATTGTATGACCGACCAGCACACGGTCACTCAGATGAGAGTATGAGGTCTATCCAGTGGCATCGGCAGAGGTTTTACTTCACAGCCAGTGAAGATGTCTCAACATTAAAAATCTCCTCGGTTGGAAGATCAAATGGAATCCTGTTGGATAATGTCCAGGTGAGCAAATGTATCACACAAGGCAGAATTTCAGTTTATGCACCCCAAATTGGACTGAGCTGTTATCAAAATCCCTTTAGAAAATTATTTCATTTTGATTTATTAATGTGATTGTTAGTTTACTATGCTCTCAAATCCAGGCCCTAGGACACTGACGTAAAGTTTATGTTTAGTCATTTGCTCACACCTGTGGCTTTCTAAAAAAAATTGCTTGGTTATCACAAAGTTATTTGCAATTATGAAGGACTTTTGAAACAAAACAGCCTCTGCCATAAAGTTTGCGTAGGCCTAAAAGTCAACCTGTTTAATATGAGGTTTAAAATCTAGAAGAGTGTCCTTCAAGTGTCCTTTTGGTTACAGATGTACGTGAGCTTAAGGATTTAACCTATTTGTTGTATTCCACAGCTGAGGCAGATCAGCATTAGACCGACTAACGACGACGGGTCTGTGCAAGTCTTTACCCAATTCATTTACGGATGGTCATCTCTTCAGGCCAAGTGGCATTTCATTGACCCTGAGAGCCCCATAGTGGACTACAGCTGGGCCATTGGTAGGTTACACCTAATTCCTTAGGGACCATTGAAATTATGGAGAATGTCGTTGGATTCAGCACGGATCATAAGATCAATTGCTTCATTCATCCTGGTCACATTCAGTATAAAAAAGTTTCATGCAATGTAATACGGTGGACAATTGGCAGGTTAATGTGCCAGCTTGTTCAAGTGCTGTTAAGGCTTTGCTATTTGTTCAAAATCATGTTTTTCTGTTGTTTGATGCCTGCTTTGGTGGATAATTGTAATGGGGAAGTTACTCAATAGTGGCAACACACTGAATACAAACTTGTATACAGTATCAGTCTCTTTCAGTTCATTGGAAAAAAGGACAAAATGGTTATTTTTGATTGACTTAAAGGCACAACAAGAGGGGGCATCCAGCTACAAGGCTTTACATCAGTGGGCACACGAACAGATGCTATCAACACCGATCTGAGGATGGCACATGGATCCCGTGTCTATGTAACGGTAATGGCAAGAAATGCAGCTGATCTCATTGCCATTTCAACCTCTGCTCCTGAAATGATTGACTTGACACCACCAGAAATTCTTTCTGTCATTGACGGGAAGACTGAACAAGGTGTGTTAAAATCTGTCGTCAACACAGCTTTCATTGCTTTGTATTGTATGATCCAGTCCATCCTCTTGACTAAATCTTGTCATACATATGTAGTCAACTGTTGAATATTTTTTTCATTCTGGTTGAAACCTACAGCTCAAACATTTTAATCCTAGTGACAAGAGTCTCAAAGAGATTACATCATTTTAGAACTAGTATTTGGCTGTGGTATTGGACGTTGACTTGTAATGTTTTACATATAATCAGTCAGAGTTGATCATAAACAGTTTAAGACACTTTGTCCCATACCTACTTCTCAAACAACCTAGGTAGGAACCAACATTTATTTGTCAAAACTTTCAGAGTTCATTTTCTTTTCTCAGATGTCGACTTCAGCGCCGACGATTCGTCTCTATCGTTCAGATGGTCAGCATCTGATGCTGAAAGTGAAATTGATCACTGTGAATGGGCAGTAGGTAAGTAGATTCTCTAATGCCACCGTGGATTGACATTTAACTCAAAGTTGAATGGACGTTACACTGACTCTGATTGTCAAGCATCAGCCACCTGACTTTGAGGAGATTTTGTACACGGCATTGAAGTTTACATTTTCTCATTTGCTCAGCTGACTTTCAGTCATTAGAAAAGACTCTAATCCTTCACTGGTCCGTGGCCATTCCTCTTCTAGGTGTATCGGATACAGTACTTAACCTAGCACAATGGCTGGAAGATCAACTGACCTTCCATCAGGTGGCATTTGACCCTCTTGAATAATAATTAACCTGTAGATGTCACCCACTTGACTTGCAGACTCCTTTAAGTTTGGATTATCTACACTCTGATTCTCACTAGATTCATTTCAGGCTTATTTTATTTTACCTTAGTTATAATCAGCATCTTAGCCCATGAGTCGCACTTAGAATTTTACTATGTCCCAGTCTCAGTATACACAACATGCTTAAAGTGTGAACATCCAAGGCTCATTTTAAATTTCCTTTTTTCCTAGGATCAGAACCTAAACTTGATGACATCATACCATGGTCGCAGTCTCCTAACGCCACTTCCACTATCACCACCAGTCTATCACAGATCATGGTTGAAGGCCAGAGCATGTATGCTACAGTCATATGCTATAATCATAATGGACAGTCGTCTTGGAAATCATCAGATGGTGTTACCATAGTAACAGAGTCTCCAAGCGCTTTGGCAGCTGTTGTCAGTGTGAAGACTTTGCCAGAGACTCAATACACATCACAAGGGTACCAGTCACAGAGAGATTCTCTTAAAGCATCGTGGGATGGATTTATAGATCCAATTGGAATCCAGTCCTATCAGGTAAGTGCAGAGATTCAAAGTGCAAAGTGAAAAGAACATTCATAAACAAGCACATTGGCCTGGATTAGTATTACGTTTTCACTCAGATGCTGCTGATGACTGACAAAATTAAAAAGCAACCTTTGCTCAGGATATGCATAGAAACATGATATAAGTTTGTATTCAACTGTGCAAATACCATATTTGTTGATAAAATATTGATTAAAACATAAATAATCCATAACTCAAATTGCCCAACCAAGACAAGGTGTCATCATTCACATTCTTCAAAAGTATGACCTCCTTATCCAGAATATGCAAAAAAACATTTAAGTTTGAACAATGACTTTGTTGATTACATTTTAAAAAGTTGCGAAATGTGTACTGCTCCTTGAAGGTGACTATTCTTTATTAATGAAGTGGCTCGCCGACACATCCTACCTCAGACACGACTACCAGGGATGAGGGTCTTGTAGGCCCGAACCTCTTCTTAAAAAAGGATCAGATTATCACCCAGAAATTGATTGGAGCTGATTTCTTTCATTTTATTGTCGCATCTCAAAAAAAGACCAAAACTTCTTCCTGGGAAAAAAGAGACCCTAAATGCAAATGTGTAAAAATGAGGAACTGCAATTAATCTCACATTCCAGAAATAAATTTATACAAAAATAAAATATCTGTATGAATTATAATTGATGGAATCGGCGACACACCATCACAAGTTGGAAGCTTGCCAAATAGAAAAAAAAAAGATGTACATGCACTGTAAAGGATATATTGCCCCTTACCCACTAAGTGGAAGTATACAGCCTAAGCTGAGATGTAGCAGGAGGCAGGTAACAAGTAGCAACTTGCCCATGGATGTTACAGTACCTAGGGCCTACATACAGTCTGGCTGGCAACTGTGTGTAAACTCCATTTGTGGAAATGGATGAGGCAAAAAAAAGACCCTACTACGAAAGTATAGATGGCTATATTTGAGTTAACACGCTTAGAACTATGAAATTGACATTGTGTCCCATAGTATTAAAAAAGAATGAAATACACAACATGACAAGCACAAGTGGGGCCCGCAGTGCGTGGCATCCACTGACACAACAGCACATTATGCTTCGAGTGCAAGTGGGGCCTGCAGTGGGTGACATCCACTGACACAACAGCAAATTGTGCATCGAGCGCCAGTGGGGTCCGCAGTGCGTGGCATCCACTGACACAACAGCATATTGTGCATCGAGTGCAAGTGGGGCCTGCAGTGGGTGACATCCACTGACACAACAGCATATTGTGCATCGTTAATGACGAAGATGCTGCAGTTCTAATCCTACAATTAACTCTACGCATGCAAACTTCATTCTGGTCTTCATGGTCTTGCACTTAGTTACACCCCACATACGACCACAAATGAATACCCTAGCTTATTTTTGGCATATGATGATGAGTTGTGATAACGGACAAAATACCTGATTATTCCCCCTGATTAATAGCCCCCTCCCTGGTGTCTCAAAGGGTAAATGCAGAAAATCCACGAGAAAGCTTGACAGCTCGCCCAGCCCTGTACAGCCAGATAATGGGAAGCAGTAGAAACCATGCCGTATTTACCAATGCCCCCCTAACATTCTCAGTTAGGAGTAGTTGATTCCGAACGTCGTGCGATGGCATGGAAAGTACGCAACGAATACTGATTGAAAAGAATGCAGTTTCATTCCCAAAGTCGATCAAATTATAGCCTAGCATGGATCAGAGCAAGGCGATTGGCTGGCACATGCATATTCATCTTAAAGTTACAGCAGTGCAAACAATGTGAACACCTTGTACATGTATAATAAACGGCAGTAACCATCAGAAGTCCACCGTAAATATAAAATACATGTAATCATAAAATCTTGTCTCCCTACATTAATTTTGGTAACATAACATTTTTATTTTTTTAATCTACAAACAAGTTGAAGGTCAATTTCCATTTCTGTAATTCAACTCAATTATCCTAGAAACTTAGTGTCCTCCCCAATTTCTAAATAGTTTATATGCACTGGGGCTTTGGTTTTATTCCTGGTTTGTTCAAGTTCAGTTCCTGTGTAGAAAATGAAATCCAGTTTTGAAACGCACAACATCAGGAGAAAGATTTTTCCGGGAATTGTGCATATTTGAATATCCAGATTTGAAATTAAGGGGACAGCATGCATGTATTTTAACCCAATCCTTGACAATGGCTCAAACAAATGGTACGATGCAGAACTAAATACACACGAAGTGCTTCATTGAATACAAGGAAAGAACGAACTGATGCCATAGAGACAAATTCCAACCCTCTCACTGCCTGTTTTGCATCCTATTTCGCATCCTAAGGTCAATTGTGAATATTCATGTTAAACTACTATTTAGCATACAAAGGCCATGCCACGGTTTGTAGGAGATTCCCAGGGGAGGCACATGCCTCGGTGTTCCTCCCCTCCTGGAAAAAGAAAAAGGCTAACAAAATTCCCCCCCCCCAAAAAAAAAACACCGAAAGCTGGTGCCCCCCATAAGATGCTGGTGCCCCCTTTGTGTCCCCCAATAGTAAAATCTTAGCTACGCCTCTAGGTCATACGCTACTTTAAGATTGGCTAAGCACATGTTTATTCCCATTCAGAAGTACCATTTTAGTCAGAGAGTCAAAGAAAGTTGATATGTCAATATTTTGTTCTGGAGTTTTACTTCCATTTTTACCCCCATCCATTTTATGGGAAATTCCTTGTGCAAAATTGCCCAATCGGTGCATGTGTGGCGAGCCACGTGCACACAGACTCTTGACCAATCAGAATCGATTAAACTGTCTTGTATCCAGGTGCCAGAGTGTGATTTACCCAGCAGGCATTGTCACTTCTCAGTGGGCATTATTAAATGTGAATACACGGTCAAGTTGCATGTTGTTGAACAGGGAGACTTTCTGAAGTATTTATGAATGATTCTTTCAAGATGAAAAATAGACAATCATAAAGATTCAAGGTTAAAGGAAGGATGGTGAATTCACTATCGGTATTCTGACTGCCGATGAGTCATAGCCTGTCGTCTAATTTCTTGTCAACCCACTCCCTTTCCAGTGTTTTCTTAGTGGGCCAAACATCTCCACATCATGGAGACCTTGTGGATCCACCTCTGAGACCCACCTTGATTGGTCAGGTCTTAGCCTGCTTGATGATGCTACCTATAGCCTGTCGGTCAGAGCCATCTCTCATGCTGGTCTCATCAGCGAGGCTGTCTCTGTCAATTTTACAGTGGAGTCTACCAAGCCTACAGGAGGTGGTACGTAACTCAGTCATTTTTAAATGGTCCACTGCTAAATTTTAGGCTCAACATAAAACTAGAATTTCGAGATTGCTTTTTTGGTACTTGTCAAGGCAGGGAAACCTTAAACGGACTCCAGCAAGCCAAAACAGTCAGTCTACTATTTGCTATGCTTTTCTCCACATACCCAGCGTGGACATTTTGCCTTGTTAATTAAGAAGCCTTGGGGAAAATGCTCATTTTTCTCCTAACAAGATAACACCTTTTTAGCTGAATTTTTGATGAGGGTTGGGGGCTTTTCTCCTCATTCTGCCACAGATAAACGCTGGCTGACCTTATAAGCCTCTAAAACTGTGTGGACTATGGACTTTGTTTGAGGTCCACACTATGTATGCTACACACACCGAAATTTATATCCATGTGGATCGAAACAATGTTTGTTCTCGTGATTTGAAATCTGATGCCTTAATTGAGAATTGTAAAGGTTTCCATAAGGCAATTCTAAAAATGAATAGCTCTCCACTAGGATTTTCCAGAAAGATATTTGAAAGTTACACAGAAAGGGAGAATGTTTCATGTGTAATTATTGCAGCAAATCCAAGTATTCTATTTAAGGGATATTCGGATAAAATATTAACCCAGAAAAGTTACTCTGTTTCAAATGGAAGCACTGTGAAAACAGCATTCCAAACTCAAACTGTTTTAGTACACAAGACTTCGCACAAAAACATCTGAGGCAAATACATTGTTCTGTTGATCCCAACTCGGAGAATGTCTGCAGCTGGTTGTTTCCAATTCATATGATACACATGTGTATCCCTACAAGTTTACACAACTATCCTTGAGTTGTCCACAAATTGTGTACTTTTTTTGTTTTTCCACAAAAGCACCAAGCCTCATCAGATCATCCTGGTTGGGTAATGGGACGGTTGAGTTTGCCTGGGATGGCTTATTCTCCTCTTCCTCATCTTTGGTCTACGAAGTGTCTCTTGGCACCATCCCAGGAAGTAGTGATATCATGCAGTGGGTGGAGACCATGGATACTGGTATGCGTGTCTCACCGCTGGTTCCCTATACCAACTACCACTTGACATTGACGGCCATCAATGCAGCGGGCTTGTCTCACACAGTCAGGAAGGTGATCAGTGTCTAGAGGATTCGCAATCATCAACGTTGACGTTGTGTTGGATTTATCATAGGGGGCTGTGAAATTTCTGTTAGATTTTTAGTTTTAAGGGTGCAAATAAATTCCAAGCAAATAAATTCCACTTGCGATAAATCCGCATATTTCAAAATTCTTTCAAAATACAACTCTCATAGGTAGCTGTTCGGGCCGCCCAGAAAAACAATGATCAACATACCGTCTTTCATTTTCCTTTCAACTTTAGGTGCGTTGTCCAATGACATCTTCAGAAATTCTCACCAAAAGTAGACCACCCCGAAAACTAAGAATATTTCCAAAACTGGGAAAAATAGCTATTTTGAACAAAGCATCCCTCTGTAAGACTGCTATTAGTGCCACCTTTCAGACTCGATTTCATCTAAATAATTCAGACTTTGAAGTCCAGGCCTGAGGTTCATCAATGCCACATTTCTTCAATTCCCAAATTCCGTGGCTCTCAGAACTCTCTAAAATAGAAATTTATCCACTGGCAGACAGATTTTGGCCTATTTACGTGAGTGCATCCTTACTGAATTAACTCAGACACCTCTTTAGAAACATACAGATTATTTGTATTTGATGAAAGAGTTTTTGTCACAAGTACACAGGCGTTCGTTCTCATATTATACCGTGTTACGTTTCAATTGTTATCTTTGGTAGTCTTACGACTAGGTTGTTAGCTGTTGTATTATTGCCATTTTCTATGTAGTTTTCTAAATACTACGTGGGAAATTTATTTCATGAGTAAAAATTCTATTTGTGTAGATGATATTTGGTTTTTCCCTCCTGCAACTGCGTTGTGCATTTAATTTTTTTTTACTTTCTTTACGTAATTTACATAATTAGGCGATTATGAGTTCTTGGAGTCTTTCCCACAATATTTTAATTGGTGTCGTGCTTAAAGCCACATATGAAGTAGAGAAGTAGGTGTATTTTTCTTTGCATTGATGCATGGATTTTGGGCCAAGAATTACCCGTACAACCATATTTTAGCAAACAAAATAGTGCTGCGTTTAGATGTGAGGTTGTACCCGTATTGGGTTTAAGCTTGACTTTTGTAGTGTGTTGAGTTGAAGTGGGATCAATATTGTTGATAAAATGAACACAAGAAATGTGGTTTGAAGGGGGCAATTACAATATTAATCGGAATTATTAAGCATGTTATTGAGTTAAACTTTGTAAGATAAAACGTGATATGTTGCATGATCACGTACCATTGGTTGAATTGTAGTCAATGTTGTTCGGGTTTATCTTCATCTGTGAAATAACACCAAGAAACAATCAAGTTAAATCAAATCCCAAACATGTCTAGCAGCATTGGTAGTACCTAGGCCAGTTCTCGACGGCAAGGCCATTCATGACGCCCTAATGTCTAATAACAGAAAAATATAAAATTCTTCAGTAGGGCTCTGCACTTACGAGACAAGAGAACCAGTGCCACCTCGAGAGCTGTGCAATCAGCACAAGCCTATAGGAGCTTTCTCTAAAATGTTAGGCTGAGAAGATTACAGTTCTAGTCAACATAAACTGATCAAGTGAGTTAATTGTAGTATTTACGCACACTTTTTGTTCCATAATTGTAATATATATCAGAGGCCGGATCTCAATAGCCTCTCAACGCAGGAATTAACAGCAACCTCCCACGCGAACCCATCCTTTATTTGCACACAGGACTTCTACGGCGTAAAGTCATATGTAAATAGCATAACTATTTGTCTTTTCCTTAAAAACAGTTCCCTCGTATCATTTTCTTTTCAGTGAAATTAAAAATGCTTCGTTCTTGTTCAACTAAACAATACATTAAATTTTTAAATAATGATATGACACCTTGGTTTTCTTGAAATGACGACAGACAATTTTGCACAATTCCAGAAGAACCGTAATATCCCTCATAGTATAAGCAGGTTGAACAACCTTAGTTCTTCTTCACTTGTGATGAAATAAAGCTTGCAAAAATGTTACCCTAAATGCCTTACTGTTGTCCAGAAATTTTTCTAAACGAAACAACACCAGCGTAAAACATTTCAGATCACTGTTGCAGTAGTGAAGCAAACAATTGTTAAATTTGATCAGTCTAAATGTTAAAGATTTGAATTTCTTGGGTTACTTAATGAAACACACATTAATTTGAAAGTCTGAGTGATATAGTGCACCGTGCGAAAAGAAAATGGACTCTTTTCTTTGTTTGGATTTGTATCCTACAAAATCCAACAAAATAGCTGTTACATATTTAACCCCTCTTGCTATGTTGGTATGCACAACTTTGTGTACCAATACAAGTGGACTCTAATAGGCAAACCAGGGGATTGAGGTCGGAAATGCTCTCGTTGAAAAACGTTATACATTGGCCCAAAGGCCTCCGACCCGCTTTACACCTGAGGACCCGGAGTAGCCCGAAGAAGCGACGGCACTGAGCATTGCCCAGGCACGGCGGAGTCGACCATTGGCCGGACTTTCTGCTTTCTCGGGCCAGGCTCAGTTTCCTCGGTTTAAATTTCAGCGGGTGTTGCCGCCTCAACGCCCCTGTGTTTTGTTTTCGCATAGGCCCACCACTTCGCTCTGGCCAAGGCACGCTTGCCTCACCGTTTCCTGCGCCCTGCCTGGGTTGGGCGGACACTCCCCCCCTCCCCTTCACACCTCGCCCCATCGCTCCCTCTAGGTCTTGCGGATGCTCGAGCCCCGTCTGAGTAGCCCGTATGTCTCAGCTCTTAGTTGCCGACTGTGGGCAGTGGGGGCCCTGCTCGATCGACGGGGGTCAATGTTGGGGGGGGGGATTTGCCCACGCTATTTCTAATGGGGCCGAGCATCCTGGAGAGACACCCCCCGATAATGTAGGCAAACCAGGGAGTGGGGGTTAAGGTCGAAAATGCCCTTATTGAAAAGCGTTATAAATGGGCCCAAAGGCCTCCGACCCACTTCACACCTGAGGGTCCTGGGTATAGCTCGGAGAAGCGATTTTCGGGTTTTTTGAAGTTGCACCATTCCTTTTCGAAAAACCCAATTTTTTGCTAGCAGAAATTTGGATTTTACTTTGACGACGGCGGGCGTTCCAAAAGGGGACAAATAGAAACTTGAAAGGACACTTTTCTCCCTACGTTGAAATGGAACGGTCTTAGGAACTTGAGATTGGCATCACCGGACCCAGAGAAAGTTTTATAATGTGGACGACAGTTGGGAAGCAGCTGCCTGATGGTCCTTTGTACATGTACTGAGTACCGCAAACTTGCGAAGCCAGCTCAGCCCATTGTATTGACCCACCGTCCATTGACGGGCATCATGTGTCATTTGGACATTCCCTTGCTGTGATTGGCCTTTTTCATGCAACTTGTATTTCCATCTCTATATAGCCGATTTTGTGGAAAAGATTGGGCCTTTTTTACGTCAAGGATGTGAATTTTATAGGAGTTTAGAGGGGAGTATTATTCTAAAGGAAATTTTTGAAAATACTATGTCCAAGCTTGACAAAAATTATGGACTGATTATGGTGGAAGTTACTCGGAGTGGCAAAAGTGAACAACCAATTTTTTGATCTTCAGATATAAGATTTGTTATACAATCCACCATCCATGTATTTTACAGTACATGCATTTGATGACTGCTCTGGGCCGTCACTTGCAAGTTTGTGTTTTCATTGCGTTAATATCTCTTCACATTGTCACTTTGAATCATTTGTCTTCATATTAATGACCCAGGCCTCCACTGTAACTGCCAACTTGTATTTGATGACTCAAACAAAGATTTGAACGATAAATATTAAATTAAATCTTTGGTGTCATATCAGTGACCGGCTGGTGTACTGGCTGAAAGATTTATTTTCGTCGTGGCTATCCTTTTTGTGATTGGAATTATTGGCTGCATACATGTTTTGGAATTTGTGGGATGTAAAAATTAATTCAGCAAGTTCAAGTTGCATTTTAATGTTTCCTGTTTTACGTTCTCTATTTTCCCCTTTTTGAAAATCTTGGTTCGAGTGATTAAACAGCACTTAGCTTCTTCTCTTGACATGACCTTTTCAATTCCAACCTTTTATCGTTCCACAGCAAATTTCATTATACTGCTGGACATGGATACACTGGTTTCTTACAGCTAGCATCGTTTAGGGGACATATCACCATGCATTCACTTATTTAAAATTCCCGACGGCAAGCCGCCATCGTCGTACTAATTACACGGTGCGCTGGGAAGTCGTAAGTTATACCATAAAGGACTGCCAGGCGTGGATGGCCCCTTTCGTATATGCAAGTTTCTTAATGGGAATCGTCCACATTTTTTTCCTGCGACGCCATCCGTCAGACCATTGACCCTCTACCGTTAATGTAGACTGCCCATTTTCAAAAACCGTTCCATTCTGAGCGTAGGGAGCAATGCGGTCGTTTAAGTTTTCAACTTGTCCACTTTTGGACCACCCCGTCGTCGTCAAAGTAAAATCCCAATTTCTGCTAGCAGAAAATTGGGTTTTATGAAAAGGGGTGGTTAAACTTGAAAAAAAAAAATTTCTGGGGTTGTCCTCTTCTGGAGCATCAAAAAATTTGCTAGTGGGAATTTGAAGTTTTTAGTTGTCCACTCGTGACGCACCACGAGAGTTGTTAAAGTAAAATCCATGTTTTTGCTAGCGGAAAATCGCGTTTTTTGAAAATGCTACACGCAAAGTCCATAATCCCGAAAATCTACCAGCAGAAAATGAGGAAATGGGGTTGTCCACTTTTGACGCTCCATACCTTCCCCTTGGTTCCATCCTCCTTAACAAAGCACCCAACGCATGTGGCATGAAATGCTCTAATAGCAGAGAATTTGGTGCACTGAATCTATTCAAGCTCCTTTGAAAATAGTGCAATGTCAACAAAGTTTGGAGCCCCATGGCCGGCAACTGAAGTCCCTGAGGCCTCAAACAAAACACAATGTGTTGTTTGGTCCTTCAGGTTTCATTAGATTTTTAATTTTTCAATTATTTAATTGTTTAATTAAGCAGCCCCAAACAAACTCACCCCCCATAAAGTTATTGTTCCCAAGTCTTCTTCTCAGCGGCTCATGATTTTTCAAATCAAATCCCTCACCTTCTTCTGGCTTTTCTGACAATTTTTCCATCACATTTTTGTCTGCTTTGCCCCGAGATGGGTGCCCCTGAATCTACAGGAATAATCCCAGGCCATACTGACACAATCCCACCATTTCTTTGCCCAAAACAGACCCCTCTTTTTGAAAGAATCTGCAGGGGTACTTTTTATGCGTCTTGGCTGGCGCAGAGTTTTCCCTGAACTGGAAGTTTGGAACACTGCCTCCACTGACCGACCGGTCGACCGACAACAGCGGGCGCCAGAGCGTAATTTCACAGACGACGCCATTTCAAAAACCATGGGCAAACCATATACAACTCACCACACTACAAGCATCACACTCGTAAACATAGTACATGTTTAGTGTATTGAACGAAACCGTCCGGCCAACTGTCAGTGTCAAGGAAGAACTGTCACAGAAAAAGGTAATTTGCGGTATTATTATGTATTTCAATAGGTAAAACCAAACTGAAAGTAGGCCTATCACTCCGGATGGATCGGGAGTGAGAGTCCGTGCCACACTAATTGGGCTAAGGCCTACTGCTACTGGGACTACATTGTACATTTGTGAGCCGTCAATTAATTTTGAGAAGCCTGGGCCCTAATTTTATTTGGCATTTTTGAGAATCATCTCACGGCAGTCAGTATGGTCATTAACTTCAAGCATGTGGCATGAGCGTACACGTGGGCCAATCATGCCATCATGAGTTGAAAAGTAACGGTGTGTAAAATAAATCTTTGACGATCAAATAGGCCTATATATGTCAAGCATTTTATTAAAAGTTGTCTGAAAGGCAAATTTTAATGTCACTTTTGAAGTGCTTTATTTCCAGTAATTTTTCTTGTATCAATTTTTACAAGGCAAGAATTACAGCCTACCACTGTAAACTTAGACTATTAATTTTCAAAATAATCACGAATAAAACAAAAATTATGTTAAATGTTTAGACAGAAAAAATAAGGGGTGTCCTTAATTATACTTGTAATTTGCAGTTGTGACAGTTATTAAAGTTATTTTTTCCACATAAAAATTATAATAAAGTGACTGCACTGTAATCTGTGATTCCACTCGGTTGAAACGTTCGATGCTGTCGTTAAATTAAAACCAGGATTAAAATACCAGATGGTCTACTAAATTTAATTACACAATTTAAATAACTGTTGCTTTTTTTCTCTCCACCTGTAATTCAAATAATTTTCTGAAGCTTTGTCTAATTTAAACTGTTGAATCTGGTACAAAGTCCCTTTACCTTTTCTCTTACAAAGTGACCTCTCAAGTAATTCAAACGTTGTCCCAAACCATGTTTCATTGGAATTGAAATGTTTCTAAAATGTGACTTACACTGTAAAAGAAGAAACCTTTGTGATGTAAAACACGCCTTTTTGAATAAAAATGGAAGTTTGTTACCCACACAGCAATCATGAACAACATTGGTACAGAAGTGATCAGGTTCTTAATAACAAAATGAAATCGAAGAATTTCTGAACAGGCTAAATGGAGTTCTGAACTTTGGCGACAAATCTTTTGGGGAACATGACTGATGGTGCTGCCTGCCACATCTTTCACAGTTGTCTTTGTGGACTGTGTATTGGGTGGTCCAGATTCGCTCGTATATTTCTTGGGTGGGAGGAGCTGTGACTAGACAACCCCAGTCATCAAACCGGCTGGACTTGTGGCTTTATTTAATAGCAAACCTGTGACCTTCGAGGGGTACATGTACATGTATGCTGTGATATGCGTGGTAGCTGTTCTAAGTAAAGGAGAAAAAATGGAGAGTGGGCAGCAACAGTTGTGGTAACTTTTATTTTGTTGAAGTGGTCATCTGGAAGTAAAACATCGCACATGCTGGATGGAGCAACAACTGTAAGTGGTAGTGTTACTTCCTTGAAAAAGTTCTCAGCAACTGAATGTTT